ATAAACTTCAATGAGAATTTTTTGTGCTTTTTATCGTGGATAAAAATTGCCCGTTAGCCACTGCCTTTATTTGTGAAAACGGTTTAAAATTCAGTCACAGATTGCTCGATGTTATAGAGCACATGTGCTTTTTCTCTCTCCTAAAACCGATTCTAGGATCTAACAGAAACTGAGATGACGGATATCCCTCACGAAGATAATTCGAATCGAGATCCGTTGCCGCCACCTTATGAGCCAAACTCATTTTGCTACGATATATTCAACCCTCGGGTAAGTGATTCACGTCCGTCCGTTGTTCATCGAAAAATTTTTGCGATCATCTTTTTTGTGCTCATATTCTCCATTCCATCGCATTTCGAGTTTCTCATTCCCAAATGTTAATGTTCTGCATTTTGAATGTTTCAATGAGCAAGCAAATACAGCTGATTTGTGAGGGTGATAATGAGGAGCCTATCTATCGCACCTATCATCAGAGCATCAATATGATGGCATTGACAAAACATTACTTGCGCACAGGTGCTTGATTCATTGTCAACAATACAATAACGCTGTTTTGATCCACCTGTCACCGCCATGTACACTACAAAAGAAAAAGCTTCCAGCAATGGATCTCTCATCAAGCCTATGACCTTTTTCGCAGAACTTTTATCACTCTCATATCGAATAGATTCTTCAGGGATAAATCTCAAGTCGAACGAAATGCTGTGAAGCGAGAAAAAATGTTTTTTTTTTGCAGAATCTAATGATATGTTTTGCTGTGTATTTCACCGTCATAACACTGTGTAAGATTGTTCTCTTCTATACGTTATTTGAGCAGAGTGCGACATCAATCACGGCAATTTACTTCTTTCACATGTTTATGGATGTTCCGTTGATTTTCTTCATTCTGCTGAGTTTGTTGAAAAATGACGCAGCATCTGTGACCATTTCAATCATCATCACAGTAAGTTCGATTTAATTTCGACACGCAATTTTTAGCATTTCATTCAGTTGTCCTCCATATTCAAGCAAATCTTTCATCATTTTGGAAGTAGAAACGAGATGTTTGATGTGAAACTGATATGAATTCATCAAAAAAATCGAATTTTATCCTCGACATATTTTATTCCATCGTAGACAAGTCGACGATGACTAGCACAAAGTCATCGTGAACAATTTTAACGGAGCGTCGAATTTAATGAATAAATAAAACAGGATTAAGAAAGGTGTCTGATATGCGATTGAACAGTTTCAGCAAGATTTTTATTGATCAAAAATGAAAAAAAACTAATAGAAAAATCAAAAAGAGTCATTTCACTGCAAAATATGCAGCACCCTTAATGATTATTTCACAGATTCCACGAATGTAGCACTTTCAAAAGATTTCACATTGGAATTAGCTGAGAAAATCGCTTCATAGAAAATGCATGAAAGACACCACGACACAAACACAACAATGACTCATTCCATTGAGCGTTTTACAAATTCTGACACTAATTGATTGCGCATGAAATTGATGATCCATATTCAACCAGGAGGTTTGCAACCTGGAATTAATTTCAGGTTATCTACATCGTCTATCATGGAGTGTGCATTTTGGCGGCTACATTAGCATTTCTTCATACAGACTCATTAGTGATTCGTATAGTGGATTTGAATTTGGAAGATACTACCAAAGCGGATAGTTGGATACTGAACATACTGCACGTTACTGATGGAGTCGGTAATGGTTGGGTTGTCAATGAAATGGAAGGTACGAAACTGGGCACTGCGCACATTCGTATTTCTCAGCATCTCTTCAATGAATCCCTTCATTTATTGAGAGGGAATATCCCCGTAGAATACTCTTCGTTTCGAAAAAAAAACCATTTTCGAATGTTTCTTCGGGAACTGCTTACGCTTCCGAAGGTGTTCAAATGGAAGACTCGGTATCGGATCACTTGCCATATAAAAACAAATTCTATGCGTCTAACGTTATTTGGTTCCATAAAAGCTTACAATTGAGTAATGATTACGATCAACTTCAGATCACATTTACTATCGGTCAATTGGTTGAACTACAAAACGTATTGCGTTTTAAGTTCACACATTTAGATGATGCTCACAGTATAGAGCGATGTTCCTCACGCTTGGAATTTCCATGACCCATTTCGACGGTCTGACAGGCCGTCATTACTCCCAACATCTACTACAAGAATTCTCTATTTCCATATTTTGCGTTTGGAGCAAATTGAAGACCGATCAGGAAATTGGAAGAAATATTAGTTTATCGATACCCTCAATGGTACCCCCAGACACCCGAAATTGCGTTCTACAAGATAATTCACCTCCCTTGTAAGAAAACTGGTACAGAGGAAAATTTTCGACGGGATGATTGAATATGAAAGCTCTTCATCAGTCAGCTTGTAATGAATCCACTCAAATGGTTATCGAATTTCAGCGGTCGAGATCCTCTCACGAATCATCCTGTGCGTATATCCGTTCCTGTTGATCGTCTATATTTCGTATGAATTTGTGGCCATCAAATATAGGCAACTCATTGAGGATATGGAAAATAGCGACGATATCGCCACTCAAAAATATCGTCCCAAAGCACCGTGTGGCATCCATCCCGGAAACTTCTGCTAAACAATTCAGTTACGCAATCCATTTCAGCACTAATATTAATTAGTGCGATTGTAAACTCATAATTGTAAACAGTTCTCTTCTTTTGAATGTCTCTGTCTCAACGGGCAATCAGCACTGTCACTGTTAGTCAAGTTCGCTAAAAGTCCTCAAAAGTTCACGAAATTGCTAAGTTTGCGAGAAAATGGCGCAAGACAAGATCGGAGAGAGGTGATGACCGTCGTAATGCGCGGGTTGGGAGGTGAATTCCGAGCAAGTGATGATTTGCCGTAGCATGATTGTATTGTCGGTTAAATTGTAGGATTCTTTATAAGTATTCCATCTCACCCATGATTCCAATTCGCTGATCTCTTATTCTGCTACTAATTTAAACTTTTTTAAAATTTAGTCATTTTCCAACAAGATGAGATGTTCGAGCAACAACTCCAGCAGAATTTCTCCATCCGGATTCAACACTAAATTCGACGTATAGTTCACAAGGAAAACGTATTTACTTCCTCTCTAGACTTCCTTGAGCAGACAATAAGGCATTGAGCCGAAAATTCAGTAATATTACGTAATGAATTCAATTCAGTCCAATTGTTGCATATAATCGCCTTTGTACAAACAACAAACATTGTTGAATCGTTCACAATGAATTCTTTCATTTTATTTATTTATTTATTTATCTCATCTGTTCGGTTTCTCTCACTTAAAACTCATAGGAAAATCTTAGCACTGTTCTTGGTTTTTGATGTTTCGTGTTCATTGTTCATAAATTTGTCTTGATTTGAAAGGATTTCACGTTTGTTCCATTTTTGTCTCCCTCCAAATTTATAAATATTTCAACTTCTCGTTTAGTTTCACTCTGTTTGTTTCATTTCTTATTGTGATCATCGTGCGCCAAATTTGTAAAATTTATTTCTTACTTTACCGATGCATCAAAAGTTCTCGCGATATGTGGTGCCATACATGAAACGACCAAATTTTGTAAATATGAATTATTTACAAAACTGAAATATTTTGTAAATATGAAATATTTGCAAAAGCGTGTAATGTGCTGTTTGATTTGATCAGTAATCAATCACTCATCAAATTGAAATGTATTGTTTCAAGTGTAATTTTTGTTCTCAATATGTATAAGTGCCTTCTGAAATGTAAATTGTTACGTTCCGTCATGAAGGCACAAGTTGCAGTTTCTTGTAACTACTGGCTGTGCATAATTTTCATAATTCTTTTCAGATTAAGCCGAGTTTCAATATGGAAGGCGGTCAGATTCGAGTGATATTCATGGATAAGGTATTATAAGAAATCTACGATCATAGATTGAGCATTCACATCCATCATTTCCCAGCTCTTATTGCTCTACCGCATTATCAAGCCTCTAGCTGGTTAGGTTCATACGGTCGGGGAGGTGGGATGAGACAAGGAGAGAGGAGGGGAACTATTGAGAGTTTGATCTGATTAGGAAGGTTAGGAGTAAAACCCTTTTCTGAACACCTTGCACCATCGATATAATATTATAAGTGCTTCTACTGAGGCTTCTATATCCCACTTTGTTGCAGCCGAACAACTGAAATTGCAGGGTACCTCTAGCCAACCCCAAAAAATCATGTTCATCCGGGAAAAGAGACTTTCATCATGCCACTAGTTAGTACTAACTGTCGATAGCGTAATCTTAATTACTAGATATCATTACAGGTCTCATTGCTGGTAACATTATTGATATTATTAAAGCCACTGCTCGACAATATTAAAAGCCACTACTTAACTCTATTATTATTTACTCTGAGCATTTGAATGTTGCTGTTTACACAATGTGTTGATGTTGACGTTCTACTCTGTAATAGTAACGAAAACAAGCACAACATTATGAACGAGAAAAATCAAGGCAATATACACAATACAAACAATGAGTGCTTTTCAAACAGCCTCTTCTTTATTCAATACATACTCGTATTCTATCATTTCAGTTAGCTGAATAATGCGAAAACACCAAACAAAGCATGAAACGATGAAAACTTTATTGGAATTTGACAATAACAAAAGTGAAACACTTCAAAATGTTTTGAATATGACAATTTGAAATATGACAGTAACAAAATTATTACGATAAAATGGCAATTGAATTTCATTACACAGCATCTGATAAAAATTCACTAACGTATCAACGAAAAAGCTAGCTGATAACGACACATCACTGAGGGGATGATTGATTCAGAAGAAATTTCTGAGTAACAAAAATTATCAATTCGTCCGGATCACTTGGACTCCTCCAACGACGGATAATCGCCTCAAGCTGACTTATCCGCCTTCTGAAAAACGAACAATGGCAACGAAGAATGCATGCTTATATTTCAACACATTAACGGAAATCGTTAACAGTTATTCCAGTATCAACTCAGCATCAAACTGTAGTACTGCATATGTATGACAAATCAGTTATCAAACGAAATTCATAAGCAATCGACCAATTCCTAGTAATCGCACGAAAATTTCATTCAGTTGTCCTGAATTCGGTTGTTTTCTCAACATGTGAAAACAGTTTGCAGATGAGATTGGAGATGAAATGCATTATGTGGATATATTAGGAAAAATAATGAGACAAAATGGATCAGGAACGTACCGAAATGGTGCAGAAATTATTGAATTGCTTAACGAGCAAACGACCAAAGATCATATAGTCATCATTTGAAAGCGTTTTTGCTGCAGCAAGTGCGGCTTCATCCGCTCCAAGAACTGTGGAACAACCCAGACCTTGAATAAATGATATCAATACCAGATATTAATCATCGGGTTTCTATATCGTCTACTCAAAAACAGTGATAACCGCAAGTCTGATGTGATATTGAGTTCTCGAAAGTACACTGAATCTTGTGAGACTCGTGGATTAGTGTGTTGCGAGAACAGAAAAAAGTTGGCG